CATAAAATATGTTTTACTTGAACATAAATCATGTTTTACTTGAACATAATATATGTTTTACTTGAACATAATATATGTTTTACTTGAACATAAAATATGTTTTAATTAATATTTATTTTGTTAATATTTTGATTTTTATTAAACCTATTCTCTAACAATTCCATCGCCTCTTTCATCGCTTTCTCTTTACCTTGGTTGAATATTGATTGTTTAGTTTGTTCATCAATTTCATTTTTAGATTTTGTTCTAATTTGTTCAATCATAGCTTGAAACTTCTCATATTCTGAAAGTATCATTGTAAATTCTACATCATCGATATTACCATCTTTTAAAGCTTTAGAAATATGGTCGCTTATAGTATTTAATTTCGCATCAGCTAATACTTTAATCTTTTCATGCTTTTCTGATTTTATATTTAATTTTTTAATTACTTGAGATCCTATTAATGACATTAAACCAATACCTAATGCTGCACCTTCACATGCAATAGCTACTGGTGTTCCAACTATTGTTGATAAAAAACCAATACCAACAGCTCCAAGTGTCATAGTAGTTGCAAGTAATGAATTATCAACAACTGAAATTATTCTAACAGCTCTATGATATTTTTTACTTAACATAGCTCTTCTACTTCTTTCACATTCTATTTTACCTTGAATTTCACTTATCTTATCTAATCTATATCGCTGATCAGATAGTGGTGGTGCAGTTGGATCAACTCTAAACTGGTTAAGATCTGGATAAATACTTTTACATTCTTCATTTTTACATTCTTTATAGTCCCTATTATATTCCATTCTTTTTTATAAAGAAAAATTTGTTTAATTCATTTGCATGAATCCTTGCTTCGCTAAATTTCTTTTATTTACCAAAATTAAATATAGATTTAGCGTGGTCAGGATCACTTTGTGATTTATCACTGTCTTTATCTTTGTCAGATTTAGCGAAGCCAGGATCACTTTGTGATTTAGTATTATCTTTATCACATATTTTATCAGTAATTAATTCTCCTATACTTGATAATATAGATTTAACAGAGTCTTTATCACTTTGTGGTTCTTCTTTTGGTTTTATATTTTTAGGTCCTGAAAGTACCTTTGCTCCGCTAGATATATAACTGATTATATTTATAATTCCATTATAAGATAAAATATATAATAAAAAATCTCCTTTTTTAATATTTATATCTTTTTTATCATTATTATATAAAGTTATTATAATATCATTAGTAGACTCTGCTACTACTGAATTTAGTAAGTTTAAATATGGCTTATATTTTTCTGCAAGTGCAAGTGATACATAGACTTCATCTATATTAACTCCACACTTTAAAGAAATGTTATTATATGAATTTGATTTTACTGTAAAATCTTGCTGCGCAAATACTCTATATTTTTTATTATTAACAAAAGATGGAGTATGATCTAAATTACGATTATATATTAATCCTATTTTTTTTAATTTACTATTTTCAATATTCAGAAACATTTTATTCATTTTATAAAGATGTTTATTTATTTATATCATTTCACAACATAATAATATAAAAAATTAAAATGATTTAAATAATTTTCTTT